TGTAGCAGGGTGATACTTGTGGAGTAGGCTTGAGTCTCTCGATTCTATAGTGGTGGCAGGCCAAGAAGCCCACTGAAGATGGAGAAGCTGAGAAAGCAGCAGCCGCCCAGGTCAGACGTGATCAATATATGTATACATTACTATATTAAATAGATTTAATTTGAATGTTTTTCATATTTGCTCTTTCCTCCAGGAGCCCTTGCCACCTCCTACTCATGAAGCTGTGGAAACTTTGGAGATGGAGAAGGCTGGGGAGACCTGTGCAATAGGCCTGAGCCGAGCCCTTGATTTTATACTGATGGTGTACCTGGTAGACTCCAGTGGCCACTGAAGAAAAAGCAGAAGCCGTTGAGGACAGGCGTGATTAGTTTGAGTGTTTTTCATGTTTGCTCTTTCGCCCAGGATCCTTGCCACCTCCTACTTGTGAAGCTGGGGAAGCTTTGGAGGTGGAGAAGGGTGGGGAGACCTGTGCAGTATGCCTGAGCCATCGATTCTATACTGATGGTGTACCTGGTAGGCTTCAGGGGCCGAGAATGCAGAAGCCGTTGAGGACAGATGTGATTAGTTTAAATGTTTTTCATGGTTGCTCTTTCCTCCAGGATCTCTTGCCACCTCCTACTCGTGAAGCTGGGGAAGCTTTGGAGATGGAGGCCGGGGAGGCCTGTGCAATGGGCCTGATCCCTTGATTTTATACAGATGGTATCAGATGGTGTACCTGGTAGGCAGAAGGGGCCAGTGAAGAGAAAGCAGAAGCCGTTGAGGATAGTTATGACCAGTTTGAATGCGTTGTCATGCTTTTCTTTTCCCAGGAGCCCTTGCCGCCTTCTACTCGTGAAGCTGGGGAAGCTTTGGAGACGGAGAAGGCTGGGGAGACCTGTGCAGTAGGCCTGATCCCTTGATTTTATACTGATGGTAGGCTGAAGAGGCTGAAGGGGCCACTGAATATGGAGAAGCTGAGAATTCAGAAGCTGTTGAAGATAGTCGGATAGCTGTGACTAGATTGAATGTAATTGCTGCCTTTTTCTTCCTCCAGGAGCCCTTGCCACCTCCTCCTCGTGAAGCTGTGGAAGCTTTGAAGATCCCTTGCCACCTCCTACTTGTGAAGCTCAGGAAGCTTTGGAGACGGACAAGGCTGTGGCAGGGGAGACTTGTGGAGTAGGCCTAGCCCCTTGATTCTTTATTGTTGGCAGGCTGTTAAAGCAGATTCAGTTCCAGCCGAATGCGTGCCAGAATGTGGTGAGGTCGGGTTTCACTTTCAATGACATTGAGGAGTGTGAGTATGCTCCTGCCAGGTTGCGGGAGCACTCCCGCTGCCCACTCAGATTCCAACACGGCAAGCTTTGCCAAGGACTCGCGCAAATACAACTACAGAGAAAGTCAAGACGAAGCCAGAACCAAAGATCAAACTTGAGAAAGTTAAGGAAGAGCCAAAAAGTCCTCCCCGAACGCCCGCTGCTGGCATCAAGAGACCAGTGCCAGCAGCCAACGCAGATCGAATTGAGGTGAAGATCGAATTCAGTGAAGAATCCCGAGATCGGATCCAGATGTTGCTGAGAAGATCAAAGAGAATCGTTTTCATTGTGAGATGCTGGATGCTTTCCTGTATTGCTACCACCAAGGGAAAGCGTTGGCTTACATGGTGGATGTTGATCTAAAAATTGGAGAATTTGTCCCTGCCCCTGCCGCAGAGTACTTGTCAATGGTACTGCCTGATGGCGTAGCCATTGATGCCATCGACACGGTAGACAGGAAGTCTCCCAACTACTGGTGTCTCATTTCCTGCAACGCCCACTATGATGTGCACGGGCCCCGAAACCATTTCGTACCGCGCTTCTTCCGGGAGCAATTGTCAGTCGATACCTGGTTTGATCTTACAATGATGGGAAACGCCACCAACAGATTGGCGCTTCGGCGCGCAAAAAAGAAAGTCATGGACTTTGAGGAGTCTATGTCCACAGCGCAGAATCCAGATGATGAAAACCTTCTGATGCAGCTGCAAGATTTGAAAGATGAAGCCAAGCGGCTGAAGCGGTGGGTAGAGATGCGAGAAAGATACCAAAAGATTGGTTGTGCTCTCTTTGAAGTTCCTTGTGACGGAAACTGCTGCATATGGAGCTTGATGCTTTTGCAACAATGTCCCGATTTTGGTGTGGCAGGATTCTTCAACAAGAAATCTCCCGTCTTTGGCTTGAAGTCTCCGATCAGCCGGTGTGACAAGAACAAGTCAGCAAGACACCCCCTTCAAACCAGTGCCCACAAAAAAAGCACCTCTGGATCTTGGAACTCCAGATCAGGCCAAAAGAAGAAACGCAATGTCAAAACCAAAATTCGTCGGCAACACCAAGCCCGTTCCGCTCATTGGGAAGCCATCCAACTCTCCTACCTTGAGACTTCCTGGGCGCAAAAACAAAGCGCAGGCAGCCATGGAGGCTCCTCTTCCAGACATAGAAGAAGCCTACCACAATGTCATGCAAGATGGACCCACCAAAAAGAGAAGAAGAAAGAAGAAGGCTGCAGAGGAAGATGCAGAAATGGAAGAGAAGGCTGAAGTTGAAGAGATGCCATTGGAAGAGATCACAGAGGATTGGTTGCTGGAGGAAAATGAGAATGAGGAGCTCACGGGCAAACGGATCAAACATGCCAGAGTCAAGAAACGCCAGTTGACAGAACAGGAGAAGAAGCTGTCTATCATGAGCCAATTCCTGGCAGACAAGCAAATCACATATATTTTCTTGTCTGCTCACCGTCGAAGCGCTGTATACCAAAAGGCCTCGCTTTGCAGTGATGGTGGCTTCAAAACCTTCAAGGATCTCCTTTGCGCAGGAAAAGAGCCCAAGTGCGACGTGTGCCAGAAGCTCTTGTCATCTGTTGGCATTTCAATGGACTTCTTGGCCAAGGAGTTGACAGAAGGACTTGAAGGACTTGTTACCGCCTCGGAGGAAGACAACAAAGAAGAGACAGCCCAGCCCAAACAGCGAAAGGATGAGGACCAGGAGCACACTGATTGCCTGAGTTTTGTGCGCTCCTATGCTCCGGTCATTGAACTTGTAGACGACAAAGCCAAGTGCTTGAAATACCGCTGCCTCGCATGTGTCTCCCGCACTCAACCCACTGGAAAGATCAACAAGCTTGGAAAGGGGTGGCTGGGTGTGGACAGGGGAAGTGTGTCTTTTCCTGTCCTTTTCACGCCTCTCCAAACTACATCAAAATACTATTGGCGTATATGTGTGAACCCCAATCCTCTAATTCTTTGAGGGCTATGTTGTTTGAACGCTAGCTTGAAAGAGCAAAGGTTTGAGTGGCAGACCTGCCACAAAATGTCCTTCTAAAATGGTGGGCACAGGGCCTTGGGAAGGTTAAAGCACTGGGTAGGGGTGGCTGGGTGTAGACAGGCGAGGTGTGCATTGGCGTTGGAAGCTGGGTTGGGTCTTTCCTGTCCTTCTCATGCCTCTACCAAAATACTCTTGGTGTATATTTGTGAACCTCAATCCTCTAATTCTTTGAGGGCTTGTGGTTTGAACGCCAGCTTGAAAGAGGAAAGGTTTGAGTGGCAGACCTGTCGCAAAATGTCCTTCTAAAATGGTGGGCGCAGGGTCTTGGGAAGGTTAAAGCACTTGGGTAGGGGTGGGTGTAGACAGGGGAGGTGGAAGCTGGCGTTGTGTCTTTTCCTGTCCTTCTCACGCCTCTCCCAAAATACTCTTGGTGTATATTTGTGAACCCCAATCCTCTAATTTTTTGAGGGCTATGTGGTTTGAACACCAGCTTGAAAGAGGAAAGGTTTGTTGGCAGACCTGTGACAAAATGTCTTTCTAGAATGGTGGGCACAGGGTCTTGGGAAGGTTAAACCACTGGGTAGGGGTGGCTGGGTGTAGACAGGGAGGTGTGCATTGGCATTGGAAGC